AATTTAGAAACATGCATACAAGTGTATTAGGGATAGCTTTTTTTTTAGAGTGATTGGAAATTTTTAAGCGTCTTAAGCCTGAAAATTTTCTCGTAGTAGAACTTGTACCGCAGAAAGGCTACTTAACTTTTAGATATTTTTCAGTCTCTACAACAAACATTGTTTTCTGGGATACAAAACCAGAGTCATGCAAGGTAATCATGAATTCCACTGCAAAGTGTTCACTTTCATAACTCGCATGAGAAACAAAATATGGATTACTATATTCTTAAGAGATTTTTTTTTTAAAGCAACTACAAACCTATGTTTTGGGATAGGCAGAAAAATACCAAAAAAATCTACGAATGCGTGGGTTACAGACTTGGCTACATTTCTCATCTCTTACCCACAGAAAGGAAAGTTTCACTTCTGTAAATATTTCTCTACGAATTACACTACATAATATTGTGGGTTAGAAATGATCGAAATGGAGTTATAATTATAATTTTTACACCAATTTTAAAAGTTGATAAGCAGGTGTGCTCTCAACACCTGAAAGGTGCCTGCACGTCTTGATGGTTATAATGGCCCAACTTTACGGGTCTCTCAGCTATGCTATGGTTGGTATGACCGGCTGAACGCCACTTGATAAACCCAAAATCTATCCATACACAGCTTACCAGCTAGTAGTATTGAAATATACACTAATATATTCTTTATCTTTCAAAAGGTACGAAAGTTTTCGGTAACGCAAATTCAAAATATGGCATATTTTGTTATACATATTTGTTAGTGAATGGGCATAAATATCAATTTTGGCAGAGTATGACTGCAATAATTAGTTGTTTTATACAAAACTAGTTTAATTTCTTGAAATGCCGAAATACAAGAGTTTTAATACTCATATGCGTATACCATATATTACGGAACAATGACATTTTTTCCGAGTATTCATTTTTCAATCCAAAAAAAATTGTTCATTAAAATACTTTACAAACCACTAGTTCATAGATGCTATACTCACAAAATACGACTAACTTACTTTTAATTAGTACCACTTATTAACGTTATCTATAGTTAAATAAAGCGGCTTCATTCTAATTTAAGAACAACGACATTTTGTTTTTCATCCGAAACAACTTTGTTTAACAGTTTAAAAATCGCATCTTTTTTTCTTCGTCTTGTAACTTGTTACTAAACATTTTTTTTTCATCCGAAACAACTTTGTTTAACAGTTTAAATATCGCATCTTTTTTTTTCTTCGTCTTGTAACTTATTACTAAACATTTTGTTTTCATCCGAGACAACTTTGTTTAACAGTTTAAAAATCGCATC